CTGGTTGAATTGATGACACCGGAATCATCGACAACATTTATCATGATTAGCATATGTTGCCTCGCGCACATTTCCTATTTCACAAAAGCATAAATAACTTATACAAATTTAACTCAAATGCACTACTGCAGATTTCCAAAAAAGCCTCGCGTATGTTGCCAATTAAAATGGCTACCGCCCGCTAGGTCTAGGATCTGCGGTTCTAGGCTCTGCTACCCTTGCATATAATGTTGCCAATTAAAACGTCTACCGCCCGCCAGGTGTCGCTAGTACACCTAAATCTGAAAACTGAGAGACAATGGGCCATGGGCTTCCAGGGCGACTCCATGCATATCTTTATAAAAAATAAAGATATCTAAACATTTTTTATTTCTAAATAAAACAAAAAATCGAAAAGAATATTACGCAGAAAATAGCCCTTGAGATTCCGCATCTTTTGATATATCGCTTATATCTGGGATAGCGAACGGTCTTTCTTGGAAGGTCAGCTGTGAATAACTCCAACTAGGCTGAGAATCTGTCCTTAATCACCGGTTGGCCCGCCAACTCTTACCCAAAAGTTCAAAGAAAATAGCATCCAAACTATTAAGAATGGATCAGCACGGTCATCACAATGAGAGTCATAACGGGGCACTGGCTAGTGGGAACACATTTTTTTTTAACGTTTTGAATGTTGAAATTTTATTCTTAAGATTAGCGCACTGCTACCAAATTGACAGCTTAATCTAATCGCTTTTTACAAATTTTTAACAATACTCAGTCTAAGCGTTACTTAGGTCAAGAAGTGGTTAAATGGTTTTTTTATTTTAACTTATTTTTATTTATGTTTATGTCGAGGGTGACGAAATGGCTACGTCAAGATCCGGTTTGATAGGTCTTGAGGGTGGTGTCTTTTTAGTCTTCTCTTGACTCGATTACTTGGATCAGCGCTCCTGATAGCATCGGTACCAAGTTTTTTAGCTAGGCTGTTGGGGTGCTTATTTAGTCGTTCCATGTATTTCCGAGCAAGTTCCTGCAGCTTGACTCCGATTTTAGGCACGTTGAGATCTCGTTCGATGTCTCTGGTTCGCATAAACCACGGAGCTCCAGAGATCCTTCGAAGAGTTTTCGCTTGCAAAACCCGAATTTTGTTCAGGTTGGTTTTTGCAGCGATACCATAAACCTGGAGTCCGTAGAAAAGACTTGGCGCTAGTATAGACTTGTAAATCTGCACCTTACATCCAAGTGCGTGCCTATTGCGTGGTGTGAGGAGCCAGGACATCCGGGACACTTTAGTCCTGAAAGAGTGTTGGATACAGGTAATGTGCCTGCCAAAAGTGAGTTTTTTGTCCAAGGTGACACCGAGGTACTTGTATGCAGGAAGGGCTCTGATTGGACTATTGTTGAGGTTGACTCCTGGGCAGGTACTGCGTCTGCGTTTACACGAATGTTCCAGTTCGTGGCCCATTGGTGAAATGCGTCCAGAGTGGGAACACATGCTAGGTGAGCTATTTTCTATGCTCACCTAACCATAAATTTAAGGGTCAAGGAGTCGAAATTGGGTATAAGGGAATCCAACCAAGAGGCATCCTCCAGAAACATCGGAGATTAGACTGATGATAGCGCAAGTCTCTGATTCCGTCAGTGAGATCCGGGTCGAGCTAAAATCATGAGACCTTGTAGGACGAGGATGTATATAAACATGTTGTTACCTTTGGTGAGGTGGGTTGAGAACCCCGTGCCTCAGGCCGAGACTTACCGACCACGGGACATAACAAGTTTATATCATGGCGACTTCTTTTTTTGCAGACGCTCCTCCTCGTCCTCCAGCTCCTGGTATCCTGATCCGTCAGCTGGACGTTAACGGAATGCGTCTCTACATCCGATTCGTACCTCAGGGCCTTTCGAGGACAACTAAATTTCGATGTCATGTCATAATAATAATGGTTCTCAAGCACAACAATAAATAAGTCTAAATACTGTAGAGTTGCAAAGAGTTCGTACATTTTGACACGTTTCCTCTAAGAAGAATTACATCCCGAATCGAAGGCTGCGACAGACGAACTGGTCATCACAGTAAATTGCAAGAAGGATAATAAAATTCACCTCAATCAAAAAAGCCCCGAAAAAAAGGAGAGTAAAAAAGGGTTCACATCTCTCAAACCATAAATAATTTATCCTCCTCGTTGAGCATCTACAGAAGCTCTACGGCGTATATTGGGATGACCTACTTAGAGAACCAAAAAGCAAAAAAAATACGATAGCGCCAGATGCGATTACGAGCGGCTCCAGGACATTAACAAAAGAAAGCGGAGAGTTCCTTCACATCTTCTTTAACGATATGGGACGATGCATCATCGAAGACAGAGAGTGGTTCTGTCGAAAAAAAGTAGAGGGGCAGGAGATCCGGAACACCATCGGATCGGAAAAAATCAGGAGATCCCAAAGCACATACCCTTCATTGTGGATTGGGTGGGCTATTAGATACAGGAGCGTCTCTTAGCTTTTTAAAAGCGGAAAAGAGTGGAATCCTTTCAAGAGTGGAAACCATGCCGATCACGAGTCTTGGTCCTTGGACGTACCTCAATTACTTGGGTGTGTTTTTTGTGTGTAGATTATTCCCATGGAGGCATGGAAAAGACCCTCAGAGGTTTTATTGGAATGATGAGCCAAGTGATTCGTTTGCAAAATATGTGAGCTCTGCAAGAAAACCATAGCTACTCAGTGGCACCAACCCGGAATATGAGAGGAAACAGTCACGATGAGCCCTTCCAAAAAATATTCAGTAGCTCGCTGCTCATTTCAACCAGCTACTTGAAAAAAATGTGAATCGGTAAACTATGTATTTGAGGTATTAAAAAAAAGCAAATGAAAATTTTTAGTTTTACTAAAAATAAGTTAATTTTAAATTAATCAAAGAACAAAACTGCTGAAAACACCATTGCAGCTTATTTCATCGAGCCAATTTTCGGCTATTTCAGCTGCCAACTATTTGTATCCCATTTGACCAAGTTTGTTCGTGGATCTTGGAAAAATTAAAGTTCTTAGAGAATGGGACCACGGGCTTCTATAGAGAAGAGGAAAGATGTTTTCCGACTTACAAAAACGGACTTTCTCGCCGGAAAATTGGGAATTGGTTTCCCTTGATTCTACAGTGTAGAGCATTATTTAATGTTTTGAAAGGCATGAAAAGCACTGAAACTTTTAATGAAAAGGATGAGCCTTATATTGTCCGAAAAATCCCGGAAAACTTTAAACTTTCGGCACTTAAAGTTGCTTCCCAAGTAGAGACAGAGTTGGGCAAGTCTTGTCACCATGACTCCATCCGATGAGTTCTGCACAACCAAGGGTATAATTGTCGAATTGCACCAAAACAAGAAAGGAAAGCTAACTTCGGGCGGAGCCGAAGTTTATATACCCTTGCAGCTAAAACCGGATATATATCGCAAACATCGGATATAGTTGGCCGATCCTTATGAAATTTGGTAGGATGGATCAAAATATAATCTGTACCAAGTTCCAGCTTTCTATCTTCAAAAACACAAAAGTTGGGTCATTTCCGATCGTTGAGTTATATGGCAGCTATAGGATATAGTCGGCCGATCCTTATGAAATTTGGCATGTCGTATTATTTTGCCAAAAATAGCTCTCATGTCAAATTTGAACTCTCTAACTCTAAAAACACCAAAGTTATACCATTTCCGATCAATCAGTTATATGGCAGCTATAGGATATAGTCGGCCGATCCGGGCCGTTCCGACTTATATACTGCGTGCAAAGGAAAGAAGGGTGTGTGCAAAGTTTCAAGACGATAGCTTTAAAACTGAGAGACTAGTTTGCGTAGAAACAGACAGACGGACAGACGGACAGACGGACATGCTCATATCAACTCAGGAGGTGATCCTGATCAAGAATATATATACTTTATAGGGTCGGAGATGTCTCCTTCACTGCGTTGCACACTTTTGGACAAAATTATAATACCCTCTGCAAGGGTATAAAAATAAGCATTCCCAAAACGCATTCACAACTTTGGAATAAGAAAATAATAAAGCTACTTTGCTTTATTAATGGGGATGCGAGGTAGCCATTACATTTACAATAAAATGAGATTGAAAATCCGTTTTTATTGACGAAAATATTGTTTGACCAACTCTAATAAATTCAGTAAAATTAAAATTTAATAAAATAGTTCAATTTGATCCATTTCTTTTCTTAGTTGTACCGCGAAAACTTTGGGGTAATGGAACCTACATATGTATGTATGTTTGTTCATAACTTTGGTTTAGGGGAGCCTTAGGGTTATGGAACAGTTGAAATTAGATTGGGAGATTGTTTGTTGTCGGGCTGTTATATTATTATTTAATGGGAAAAAATCTTTAAAAATAAAAATAAATGTATATATGTAATATGTTGCAAAGTAAAAATGAAAATCTGCAGTTAAATTGAAATAATTCTGGTTGAAATAAGCTGGTACCCACTGCAGGTACATACATACATACATATGTTTTTGCCTTCTCATGTCGAAAGTAGAAAACAATTATGTACATACGTATGTACGGATCAGAGACACTGGAAAGTAAACCAGGCGGGATCTAGATGCTCTCGAACCACCCGAACCAGCAAAACAGATCAAAACTGGAAGAGTATCAAACGGGGAAAGGAGAACGTGTTGAATGCTTAAAATACTGACCCCTCTCCTCTCCTCTCCTCTCCACCAGAGGGCAAGCTTCAGAAATGCCAGTGTGTAGCAGCGACCGCCATTTTTGGTCAATTATCGGCAGTGTTGGGAAGGCGAATTTGGGCGGTGGAGAGATTTCCACTATTTTTAGCAAAGTGCAATAAATTGAATTGAAAGTGCAATTGAAAATTTCAAGATTGAAATTAATTGAAATTTCAAGATAACACTAGTTTTTAAGAGGCCAATAAACGAACGATATGTCTGTCATCGACTTCTCGTCGATTCCTCGATTCGTCGATACCTTGTAGTGTTTGCCATAGTGTTCGCATCGCCCTTTTTCAACACTGTAGAGCTTTCAACACTGGGACGCCAACACGCCACGGACATCGGCACATGTGACACTTCATTTGGAAAAATATAAAAATAAAGAAAACTATATTTTGCAGCATAATGGAGCCAAGCCACATCCATAAAGTATTTGTCGATGTGGATCAGCTGTTATCCACACTTCTAGAGGAAAACGTACAGAAATTAAGTCCCAGTGCAATGGGATTCTTCAGCGTTGATAGAGATCATGATTTTTACAACGACGCGAGCCAGTTGGGGCTCATCAAGATGCCGGAGGCGCAAAAATACCCCCTCGACATGAACAAGGAGATGCATCCCAAATATTCCAAGAAGTATAAGCACATCTACGAAGACTACTTGGACCCCCTGCTCCAATACATGATTGCCAACCCGACGCGCTTTTTCGCCGCCAAAGAGGACGGCCAAGGAGTCCTAGAAACGATTAAGATGGTCACCCAAGGAGAACTACTCCAGGAGTTGATGTGTACGCCATACAACCACACTGAAAACTGGCGTATCGTGGCCACTCGATACAAGAACACATCCTATATGTGTCTCGACGTTCCGGACGGGGCTGACAATGCCAAGCAGCGGCGGCTCAACAATCACGAGGGAGTACTGAAGCGCATCATCCATAACGGAGGGGAGGAGCCTTTACTGAAGTTTTGGGAAAACTACTCCCAATACAAAAACGTGTTTTTGGGCAAACTGGACGAGGACGTGTCAATCTTGTATGACGCCCCCATGGGCGGAGCTCGTATCACAGACAAGTTGTAAGTTTCAGTCAGTGCCAGTCACTTGCCAATAAGTGTTGGCCGATTTTCACATTTAGTTTCATATCGGAACATAACCGAAATTTAAGAAAAAAATAATCATAATAATATGAATAAAAATCAAATAATAAGAAGTTTAATGTTCTCGAGCTTAATTACTTTACTTTAAAATAATTGTATTGCAATTAATCCCCCCATCGTTTCGTTTCAGCGCCGACTCGCCTCTCGAGTTGTCGAACCTGCGGTTCATGGACTTCAGGCTGGGATGCTGTGTGTTCGACAGCAGTATCCACACCGTCAAGAACAGCTCGCGCTGCTACGAACCCATGGAGGCCCTCGGATGGTGGTCGGAGTGCTACCTCAAGCAAGTCAACCACATCTATGTCGGCTGTTGCAATCCACTAGGGTGCGTGAACTGCCTAAGAACTGCGACGCCCAGTCGTCTCATCCATCAGAACGTAAGAGAGATTGCTTTAGTTATTACACCAACCTGACCTTAAGTTTACAGTCAAAAGCCTGGTCACCGTCCTATTGTCACATGTTTCTGGCAAACACACTGCGCGAAATGATGAAGGAGATGGAGGGAACGGATGACTCGTGCGTCACCATGGAGTTTAACTATGTCGCCGAGGAGCGCAAGATATATGTCAGCAAGGAAGCCAACCGCGTTCCTCTTTTATCCCACCAGTATGTCCAGATGATGGAGACCGACGAGTGAGTGAGACCGATGAGTGACCCACGCCATAGAGATTTCTGTGATTATTAAGACCACCTTCTTGGCTGAGCCAAATGCCGACCATTTGATTATTTGATTATTTTGATTATTTTGACCATTCGATTATTTTTTTATATTATTCAGATAAATGATTAGATATTAAAGATATATATTTTTTTGGTTGATTATTTACGTCCCAATTAAACCTACTGCCTTTTCATCAAATACTTGCATTTAAAATTTAACCTTTTTTTCCATTTTCATTTCAAGTTTCAATTTATTTCGAATCATCTTTATAGTATGTGCCAGTATTTTATTTAATTATTAATAAAGAGCTAACAGATAATTAAAATTATGAGCAATCGCGACTTGGGCCTTCAGCTCGAGTTGTACGTAATATTATTTTTAGGATTTCATACAGGTATTTATTTATATAGTTTAGCTTAGATAGAATAGTCTTACAAGCGATGGTATAAATTTGTGTTTGGTGGTGTGGGGTTGCAAGTGTTTCCAGTGGGCTGGAGTTTTTAAATATTTGTTGCCTTTGGATGTTAAGAGCGTTGCAAGTAGAAAGTATGTAGGTGTGTTATTGTTACAATGTCGTTTCAGAATGAGCAATAATTGTTTTGGTTTGGATCGATGTAATGTGTGGGTTAATTTGGTGTGTCCAAGTCTAAGTCTTGTTTTATTTTTATTTGGTCTGCACGTCGGAGGGATAAGTGATTGTTTTTTGGTGACGTGGTAGCTGTTGGAGATTATTAATGTCCAGGCTGATATCTTCGTTATGTATGATAGTGTTTTTTCTTGGTGTGTGTTTATTATATATTTTTGTATGTCTTTTGTGCTAAGATTTTCGATAGTTACAAGGGGTTGTGTAATTGCGTTTTTTTTTAGGGTGTCCGACAGTATGTTACCTGGAATATCTACGTGGCCGGGTATCGAAAGTAGTTTGAATTTATTAGGGAATTTTTGGAGCCGGTTCCGGGCGTGTGATGTGTAATATGATGTGTAAAAATAAAAGAGAGGGCTCTTTTATTTTTGTAAAGTTCGATTCCCTCTACTATTGCAAGTAGCTCGTCGGAGAACACAGGAGTAGTATGGTAGGAGGCCTATTTTATGCATTCTGTTTCGTTTGCAAGACTGGTAATTATGTTTGTGTAAGATCCATCTGTGTAAAAGTAGCTGAATTTGTAATTGTCTTTAGTCTTAATTTCTGTGAATAGTGTCCAAAAAGTTTGTTGTGTTGAGTTTTTTTTTGTTGTAGGTACTTAACGGGACTATTTTTATACCCTTGCAGAGGGTATTATAATTTTTTCCAAAAGTGTGCAACGCAGTGAAGGAGACATCTCCGACCCTATAAAGTATATATATTCTTGATCAGGATCACCTTCTGAGTTGATATGAGCATGTCCGTCTGTCTGTCCGTCTGTCTGTTCGTTTCTACGCGAACTAGTCTCTCAGTTTTGAAGCTATCGTCTTGAAACTTTGCACACGCCCTTCTTTCCTTTGCACGCAGTATATAAGTCGGAACGGCCCGACTATATATATATATAAGTGGCCGACTATATCCTATAGCTGCCATATAAGTGATTGATCGGAAAAAGTATTACTTTGGTGTTTTTAGAGTTAGAGAGTTCAAAGAGCTATTTTTGGAAAAATATTGCGACATGCCAATTTTCATAAGGATCGGCCGACTATATCTTATAGCTGCCATATAACTGAACGATCGGAAATGATCCAACTTTCGTGTTTTTGAAGATAGAAGTTTGGGACATTTTTAGGTTTTGTATTATAATAAATTGGGTTATATTATCATATTCTTATAAGGATCGGCCAACTATATCCGATGTTTGCGATATATATCCGGTTTTAACTGCAAGGGTATATAAACTTCGGCTCCGCCCGAAGTTAGCTTTCCTTTCTTGTTAATATTTTTATTGTTAGGAGGCGTGCTACGTATAAAATGTTGAAAATGTCGTTCAATTATATGGGAGCTCTCTAGGAGCTCTAGACGGCCGATCACGGCCTGCGTGAAAAGTTTCAAGTCGAATGCTTGTAAACTGAGAGACTAGTTCGTATAGAAACAGACAGACGGACACAGACTGCAAGGGTATAAAAAGGCTTAAGGCTTACATAAATCTTCTATTAAATAAGAGGTTTAGAATAAAAAACCTCTACGTTCTACGAACTAAAAGTTCATAAGTAATGGTGTTCAAGCATTGGACACGATTTAAAATTATAATTTTAATTAACGATGGAGTTTACCATTATTTCCAAGAGGTCGGAGGGGTCGGAGAAAGGTTAAAACCGATCCTATAACATAGTAGTAGTTTTATAAAGATTTAAGATTTTCACGAAGTTTTCTTGAAATAATATTGTATGAAAAACAAAAACAGTTATTTTTTTGAGAAACTCATGTGAGTTACACCATTATTTATTTAAATCTCCTAATAACAAGTGGATAACAGCGACTTGTTTAGTTTCAAAGATTTAGACCCAATGTTTAGAGCAGAACTCCCAAGTGCTGACCTTTTCCTTGAAACTATAGTTACCCAGCAAGTTCTTAAGAGCCTTGAAGAACTTCGTGAGGGGACTATTTCTTTGCAGACCCAAAAAATCCCCCGGCAGCGGACGGATATCTAAACGAAACTCCTTGTAATCCTCACTAGCCACCAGCGAAAATATACCATTTACAGAGACTGCATAAGCTCCATTGTCACGCCGCAGCTTTCTAAACTGAATTGTCTGTTGAAGTTGATGAGAAAAGAAAGATTGTCCTGTCTCACGTTGAAAGCTCCGTCCTGTCCAGGTATCCAGGTTCGTGCTGATGAGCCAGTGATAACTGCACGGTTCTTTGGATTCCTTTAATTCGATTTGCATGCCGTAAATCTGCGTGAGTACATCCTTGATGGTGTCCACGTAGCAGGTCAGCCAGTAATAGAATATTGTTTTTGTTTTGTCTATGTTTAAGTTTAAAACGCTAGAGCGCAAACACTTGAGATCATTGGCACAGGGTGTGATGACATGACATGATACTATTAGTGGGTTTTTAAGTGCCAAAACCAATTCCGACTTGGTTCCAAATTTCAAGCTTTTTGGTGTCTCGCATAATACTATTTCATTTCCCTGCTGCTTTGCGGGAGTGGATTGAACCGTTTTTGGCTCGGTAACTATTTCATTCGCCAAGCCAAATAGTAAGAAGTCATAGTGCTTCGCAGGATTTTGTAAGAAGTCCTGGTCGCTACAAGCTTGCGCAGCAAGTCTTAAGCACTGTCTGAGGTATGCGAGATTCGATGGAGAAACGCCTTCGGCCACGTTGTGCTGCAGCTCGAAGGGACCCTGTACGCACATGCAGCAATCCAGTTGAAATGGTTCGGGGGCTACGCCAAAAGCCTCCTCCATAAACTTAAGTTGATCTTCATACTCTGGAAATCCGCCCGGTGTACCCAGGGTAGTCTCCTTATCAAGGGCACATCCCAAAAATGGACTTAAAACACGTTTCTCGAAGTCCACCCTACTGAAGAACTCAAAGAATTCCCTTATCAAATCCAACGTTTTCAATTCAGGTGGAATCGGAGGAGCTCGCTTCAAACAGAAGGCATAGTTGACGCCAAACACATTCATCGGTGGACAGAGAGACTGCAACTGCTTGATCGGAGGCAGCAACTTTTGCACTTGAAGGCTAACCAAGATCATACTGAGCAAGCACCAGCTGGTCATGCCACTGAGTTGCAACTTCTTGGCCCAGATTTTGAGGAACAAACACAGCTCGCGCAGTCGTTCATCGCAAGCTGTTAGTTCGCCCACGAATCGAGAGGTATGTGTTCTCTCCGGGCTCATCATGTTTATTTCTAGAATCAATCCCGTCAACTGGTGCTTGCAGAGTATAATGGACACTCCGCCACGGCGAGCTGGGAAGACTTCCGCAAAACACTGAGAGCGACTGAGAAAGTGTGTCACCAAGTTGTAGAACTGCTGGTGCATCATATTTTGTTCATCGCAAAGCTGCAGATACAAGTCGATGTAGCCACCTATATCATAAGTCGTAGGTTAAAATGGTGGGATAGGCTACAGTCAAGACTTACCCTTTAATGATAATCCGGTGACCAGTGAACCAAAGGGAAACACCTTGACCCGGTCCTTCATCTCCCTTTCAATGCAGTTCCGAATATGGCCGTAGGAGCTCTGCAGCTTTCTGAGATCACTAGCATAGAAATCCAGGACAGTGAGTAGGTGATCACCGGTCGCCGACAGCTCGAGCACTTCCTGCAGCTGGCTGCGTTCGGATTGGGCTTGTGCGCCGGTGAAGAGCCTAATGATGGCGTTCAGACGCGGCTTTTGCGGCTTGTTGGCATGATTCAGTAGCTCATGGGCATGACAGTCCTGAATGCTCCGAAAAGGAGCGGCACACACATTGCAGAATACCGCGTTCATATTCCAAGGCAGATTTGCGTCAATGCTTTCGTCGCTCGAAATCAGATAAAATTATTTATATTGAGATAGCCTAGACCAGTGGGCCCAAGCCTAGTTTGGTTTCTTACACAGACAGTACCCGAAACCTTTGGAATTTTCGACGTAGGGTTGACAAATGAGCGCAAGTCGCACTGCAAACAACGAAAAATCAACTGAAATTATTGAATGACAATGAAAAATATTTTCCCGACTTGATGCGTTTTTTTGGTAAACTTTCTTTTGTTGCCGCAACTTATAAAATTTATTTAGGTCCTAAATAATCCTAAATCCTAACTGCAGCGCACTCTACGATTCACTCAGTGCAGCTTTACGAACTTTAACACATTTACGAGCAACTAGTTATATGAAAGCTATAGTTTGTAGTAGACCGTAAAAATAAATTCTATAGAAAACCCCGACTCTCTAACTCTTACTATAGACTAGACTATAGTCTATTTTCCCGACTATATTATATCCGGTACTCTTCTCTTTTACCCACACTTTAATTAAAATTTAATGGTATGGTCTCTCAGAAAAATATTGTTGAAGCATACATTTGTGCTCCGGTTAAAAAACAAACACTGAAGCAATTTAGTACGGAAGCAGAATTAAAAGTCTATAATTCTTCCAAAAATTGTCCGACAGAGCTGAAGTTTTATTTGCAGTCAAGGATAGGCATTGGAATAGTGGACTGCCGGAGCTGCCGCTTTAAGGGGTTGCCGTCGGGGTATAATATGCTCTAAGCGAGTTGCCCGATTTATAGCCCTGTCTTGGCGAGGGTGAATTCCAGACACTAACATGTCTCGGCTCCTGAAAATTAAATGTAAAGTGAATTGCAAAGTGGGATTGTGAGAGGGACTGCGTCGTGGTTCCGTTGCAGGATCCATCCACCTGCTGTGGGGGTGTGCGTAGTTTGCCCGCAGAAACGCAGGTATTTCCTGACAGGTGACATGCCGCAGTAGTTGTGAACGACCCCAACCGATTGGGATGTATGTGTGGGGTTAAAGGGTTCTTTTGGCAGGTTGTTTGTTGTGAGTATGCATTGCAAGTATTCCAAGTCTATAAACCCGTACCTTCAGTACATGGATGCGGTACTACTCCAGGTGAGTAGTAATCCTGTCATCCTAGGTCTTGACACGAACGCTTCCCCCTACTGTGGTTTAGTAAGATCTGGCCATCCAAACTACGCGCAAGGTGAGACACTGGTCAAATGGGTGATCACCCAAGAGGTGCAGGTTGTGAACGAGCCGAGTGGGCGGTACCCATTCGATGATCCGTTGGGGAGGAGTGACATCGATGTTACCCTTGTTAATGAGTCTGCAAAGAGAGTGTGAGTGATCATAATCCGATTAAGATTGGGGTGGCCCATTACGTGGCCCTGGATGCGAGTCTTATGGTTTATGTGTGGCGGAGCGAGTCAGGACCTTCATGGGTATTATGTGAGAGAAGCGGCGACCCAAGTCCCGTTTAGCACCTTCTGAGCTATGAATGTGCAAGATGAGCAAGGTGCATGTGTGACGAGTGGGAATGGGTTACGAGTGCGAATGATAACATGTTTGGGAGGCACGAGGTCGTGTTTAAAAAATTCTGCAAGAGTGTGACAGGAATAGGAACAGGGTTTTGTGTGGCCTACAATGTGGCCTGTCCGAATTTTTTCCAGAGGGGTCGCAGAACTCAAGGGTGAGTGTGCTCCTTAAGTCACCCGATAGGGACCGGAGCAATCCGCGATCTTTTCAAGGCATCAGTCTTGTTCCAGTTCTGGAGCCAAGTTCTAAGTTCCAAGTTCTGGAGCCAGTGCTGGTGGAACGGCTGCAGGGGAGTCTGGAGAGCAAGATGAAGATATGTCAAGCAGTCTGTGAGATCCACCAACTCCAAGTACGTCCTTGGTGTGTTTGTGGATTTCAAGGGGCCTTTTTATTACCTGGGTTGGGCTAGGGTGATTCAGAGGTTGAACGAGTGTGGGTGCCGGGACGTGAAAGAGTTACTTTTTGGGACGTAGTGCATGTGTGATGGGGGTGAATGGGGTTGTGAGTATTGATGTGGCTCGTGATTGTCCACAGGACTCCATCCGTGGTCCATTTATATGGAATCTTAGGATGGATCCCCTGAAGCGACAGCTCGAGCAGGTATGTAAATGTTGTGCGTATGCGGACGACTTGCTCAGCTTGATTAAGGGCCAGACGCGCTGGAGGATTGAGGCAAGCGCCACAGAGAGCTTGCGCCTTGTTGGCCAGTGGGGCAGCAGTATGGCTGTAGGTCTGGCACTGGACAAGAATGCGACAATGTTTCTGAAAGGCATCTTGGTCCAGTCGAGGTCGCGGGGCATTATGGCCTTCGACTGTCAGGCTTGACGGGATCAGCATAAGGTATGTGAATCAGGTGAAGTACCTGGGCATGACCGTTGGGGAACGGTTATCACCATGCCAGTTTGAAGAACGGTTGGTCGGTGCGATTGGGAAATTTCGCGAAGTTTGAAAGAATGAATAGCGCCTCAGCAGGAGAGCTGTCTGCACTATATACAGTGGCTTATTTGTTGCAATGCAAGTGTTGTTTGGAGCAGTTCCCCTTTACCCGGAGATACGGCGTAGAGCCGTAAGCTACAAGCTCAAGAAGGGGCTGCCTAATGAATGGCAGGCTTTGTTGAGTGAGTGAGTCCTATCGGACTGGCAAGTTCGGTGGGATGGAAGTGGGAATGGGCGACACTCGTTTTGTGTCGACCGACCGGACTTTGGTGCTCTCCACTAGCGACATGGTTGATAGGTTGAATGTGTTTGCGAGAGCCGTATTCAGTCGTCGATTTGTGGATGCCGAGGGGTGTTAGGGGGTGAATGGTGTGTGAATCAGGATCGATTGAATAGGTGCTATTTGAGTTTTCGCCCAACGCCTGGGGTGCCCAGTGCCCGCGCTTTATGGTAGCTGAAACTGGGAGTGATTCTTTTAGCTTCACGAACCCCACCGTTTCATAATGCTATTCCAAGCAGCTATGCTATACTTTATCCTGGGTCACCAACCCATGACTGTTCTGGAGTCAAAATTGGAAGTTTCCTTGTTGGCACAGCGCCTGATCGGCTGTGATAATTTCTGGTACCACTGGAGCCAGAGCCCTCGGAACTTGTTCCGTCCTGGCTATGGTTGAGGGCCCTTAAGGAGCTACGTGGTGGTTGTGGTTTAATTCCCAAATGGGGTTAGAGCCTTCGGGTTCGACGTGGAGTTGCGTTATACAACCGGGTGCCGGGATCCCACTGACCGGAAAAAGTATCTTCAACCTAGGATATAAGCCATGCCTAGAACAGTCTGGCCTGAGTGCCGGTATCCGGCGGAACATGGTTCTAAAGGGCCGCTGATTGACGCATTGTTTCATATCCCAAGCCAAATGGGGCCGTGAGATTGAGCCATCATGTCATGCTCACGTTAAACACAACAGGCTTTCATACCCTTGTACTCTACGAGAACCGGGTATTAAAACATTGCAAGTATAAGCTCAAACTACAAAACACAAAATTTTCAATCGTACATTTACATACATGTTAAGTTAATACAATCACCCGGCGGCAAATGTAGTTAATATAAAATCTGATAATATAATAATATAACATATTTGGACATATATGTAGTCGTAAGACCCGACCGCAATGGACTTGGGTAGTAGTAAGGCGAGCTTTAGAGAGAAGAAAATTTCGGTACTTTGTTTTCGTTAGTAGATTTAGCATTACAGATAAAAACATTTTCTGAACAGTTCAGTCGATTTTTGAAGATCACATGCGACGGTCATCACCGCGCAAGCCTCCCAATCCCGCCCCGCCAGCGCGTATGCGCGGTGAATCCTGGGTGTAGTGGGGGCGGGGGCGACAGGCACTCAGAATCCTTGCACTATATATATATACATACGTCTTTTCAACATCTTTTCCTCCTTTTTTTCAGCTGCTTGATGACACTCTCACTCCGTGAGTGCTCCCTCTGACGCGGTAGCATTTTGCTCCTACCTGGGCCACGACGGCCCACCTTCCGGACTGCAGACTGCTGCCGTCCTCTACGTCGTTCCACCTCTCCCGCCACCCTTGCGCACAGCTCCGTTGGCCACCTCTCCTCCGGGACGTCCTTCTTGCCCCGGCCGACACCGATCTCATCAAAACGGGCCTCACCGGCCGCTTCTCCGGGCACGAAATTTGGCAGCCGAGCGCCGGCCTCTTTGGCGCCGGCCATATCCATGGCCCCTTTGCCCAGGGTTCGTCTTCCTCAGGCTCCCTCTTTGGCCGTGGGATTGGGGGCCATTGACACCTTCGTGGCCCGATCGCGCCCGCTCTTCTTCCGGTCTTCCAACTCCCGAGCGTTCTCCTGCCAAACGGTTCTCGCCATTTTGGCCCTTGTGCTGGCCATGTCCACGACCGACTTCATTACGGCCACCCGCCGGCGGTCCTCCTCTATGCCCCGGCGCAGGTCCAGCCCCTCGCTCCTGCGTCGCTCCTGTACCAGGCCCCTCGCTTTCAGGTCGCTCTCTTCGGACGAGACAACTATCGAAGGATTTGACGTGTTAGACATGTTTCTTTGTAAAGACCGTGCACCTCCCACGGCTCCACTTTTATAGCAAATTTAGCTCCCGTTACTGGAAATGTCCCGTTACGGTTCCAGGCTCGTTTTGCCTCCTCTTCGGTTCCTTCCTCGTGTACAAATCTTTATACATAATCTTTTATACGTTATCTCAACGTATTTTGAATAATTTTAATACAAATGTTGATTTTATTTGAGTAACTAATATATTCAATTTCAGAACAACTTATCAACAAAAAGTTGGATTGATCAATCATCATCCTCAATCATCCCGAGGCGCGAATCAACTACGTATTCAAAATTAAAATGTTATTCGGGATAAATATTTTGTCTGGAGACTCCAATGTCGCCACTAGCCCCTGTTTAGTGAATCAAAATTATTTCACATTTACGCAAATTTCTCCCAAACTAATAGACTTTCGGCAAATGTTTTGGCAAAATTGATTTAATTAGACAATACCTTTTGTTGGGTATATCATTTATTCAGATCAAACAGTGATATTTGTGATGTATGTAC